GACAGGGTGATTTATATCAAGCATCGCTTTGCAATCAACATACTCCATCATTCCACGCATTGTAAAAGAAAATCAAGTTAAATAATGTTTGTCTCTTTTATCTCTAGATACCATTGTATTGAAATCGCAATCAGAATTTTTGAAAATGTTCAATTCAGGATACAGATGCCCTGCGGGTTCGTACATGCGATTTAATACATTGTATTGTTTATAAATTTATTAAAAAATGAAAAACAATTTCTCTTGTATTTTGCATAATTTTTTAAATTATTTTTATTGCTAATAAAATGCGGTTTCAATTAAAAATATTTCCTTTTCTATGGTCGTATTTTTTTTGCTATAAAGCTAAACCTGTTTTTAATGTCATCATCATTTCTTATCATGATTGGCGCATTTCTGTTACATTTTCTCTCTCTCTTTCTTTTTTTTTTGCTTAAATTCAATATATTTATGTAAACACAACCGACACCTTTACCATCTATTTCAAGTCATTTATGTAATTAATTTGATCTTTTTTTTGTTTTTCATCGGTTGCCGATTGTTGCAGATGCGTATGCCAAGCGCTGTGTGTCGAACTAGAAATTGTATCAGTCTTGAACGACAAAAAAAGTGCCAAAAGTAATAATGCGAATAATCGCACATTTGGCATTCAATCTAAATAGAAATTGAAGAGGATGTAAAAGGCTAAAAATTCGCTTATGGTGGCAATGAAGATCAAAGCTAACGCTTCCAAATTTATTCCAATGCACCGATTTAAATTCTTCTCAGAGACAATGTCCTGTTCAATATTCTTTTTTTTCCAGTTCGGTGTATTTGTGTTATACATATCCAGTTGAGTAGTAATGCGACAAATATGCGAATATAATGTGTATGTTATTGGTTGGAGAGTCCAAGTTTTGCTTATGTAAAAAACTGCTTTGAAAACATGAACGAAAAGAGGTAAACGAACAACAACCAAATGGGAAGCAGCAACAGTGTGATATAGCCATCGGTGTCAGTAATGCGTTTCAATTTGATATTGCCTGTTGCCATGCACTCTCACACATGCAGCGTGTCAATTGTGCAGACAAAAAAAATCACTCTCATTTTAATTTACAAATATCGATTTAAAGACACACATTGGGGCCCCCTGAACTTGTGGAAGGGATTTCGAGACAACGCACGTCGTGTCGACACGTGTGACGTGAATACACCCGAAATAAGAAGTGGGGTGGTTTTCTTTTCGTTTAGAAAACCACTTTCTACAATCCACATGATGCGGATATGAAACGTATGTCGGCGATTATTTATCAATGTTTTCTCAACAAGAAACAAAACGCAACAAAAAACACACACACAAGCACACAAGCATATTAAAATTAATGAACGATCAAACCGACAACCAAATGTCGTCTCGCTTCTATACCATTTTCGATTTGGAGTATTTGATTGTTTTTCTAGCTTCGACTTTCTTTCTTTCATGGTCTAAATATATATTTTTGAATATAGTTTTGAAATGTAAAAGGTCACTGGTTCATTCAATCGAAATTAATACTTGTTTCTTTTTCTTTGTTTCTGGGAGTTTTTATGGTTAACCGCTGCCGCAAAACCAATTCCGATCTGAATTTTGCAATGACCTTTTCACACCTGCATCCAAATAAACTCCATGATATTTTCGCAAATGCATTCGTGGAACGAAAAACACTTAGCAATAAACTTTCCATTTAATTTGTGGTAACGATCAAAATTTCGGATCATTTGTATTCATATGATGATTGAGCCAAATCCAATCGAATCAAAACAAGCAACTTTAGCTTTCCACGAACCGTAGCCAGATATGTGTGCACGCACGCCGTGGCAGATTAAGGTTTCTAAGAAAAACCATCAAATCACTCAACGACGACTAGATAGACGTGCGATCGTGCGATACATCAAACGGCGCCATATCATATTGGTGATATGAGGAAGCGGCATTTTCTCAACCTGTTAAAGAAAAAAAAATTATCCGTTCACTTTCGATTTGTGTCTGACCGCCAAATTTTATGATTTTATGCAGATTTATGTACAACATTGTGTGTGTGTGTGTGTGTGACGTGACATAAAAAGAACTGCTCCACAAAAATAGCAGAATTCAGACGAAAGGAATTAGAACACAATCAATTTCCGCGTATGATTTGTGTGTGGAGATTTTTTCTTCTCTTCTTTATGGTTCAGTCTGTTGGTTAGTTGGTTGCTTGCTTACAATCAAATGGCCATTAATTTGATGTAACAAAACGGGTTAAATTGTGAATCGTTAGATAGAGATAGAGTATTAATAATGCAAAAATAGAAACGATGTGTGTAAAACTTGTTTGACTGGTTGGTATTTAGAGGCTCACATTTTATTTGGGCCGGCGGTAATGTAGCTGTAACACCAGACGATCGTTTGCGTTTGGTGTGATGTCAGGCGAATATTAGCGTAATTCATAAACGATACGTTTTCAATGTGCATGGTGACAAAAGAAGCAAGTGCCGCATATACGATCTATAGAAAATATGCATAGAGCCAGAGACACGAGTCGAAATGGAAAAAAAAGCGACATAACGATATGAGATTGAAGCGAGGAAAGATGGCGACACCTCGGAGGAGAAAACAACAGGAAAAAGGTTGCAAATAAGTTCGTTTGTGTATGTGTGTGCGAGAGAGACAAGAGCACGTTTCTATTGCAATCGATGTTGAAACTTTTCGGCTCTTTCTATGTGAGTATGTGAATCAGGATTTGGATTTTTTCTAATGAACTGAAATTGGGCTCGATTTGAGCACAAGAAGTAAAAAAGCGCATAGCGATAGAATGATAGTGTACTACGATAGGGTAGTATGTAGATTGATGGAATAGTACCTTATGTAAAATATGATAGGCACACAAACAGATTGCACCCAAACTGAGCACGAGCAAAATTGGCGAGTTAGTGAGTATTTAACTTCAAAGCGGTCGCTTGATTATTTTTTTTCTGCTTATTGTCGCTGTGTGGTGCACAGTCTCAAAGATGGATATCACGAGTGATTTTGCTTCGCAACAATTATCAAAAACAATTCCACATTTTTTTCTTCTGCTCTGGTGAAAAGATGTCATCTCATGAAAGTGAAATTGGGTTGGCAAGTCGAAACAAAAAAAAAGCGAAACTACTATAAGCCGTCGTCACCAATACACGATTTGCTCCCTGCGTCTCAATCGCCGACATGGTGTTGACTCTTGCTCACAAACTATTTTTTATTGAGCAACTTAATGTGCGATCGCACATCGGCGCACACAACAGAGCAACAACAAAGTCCACATCTATTCACTTCTCACAGACAGTGTAACCTTTGAACGAAATCGATGCGGAGAAATGTCGAAAGGTATTGATCAAATGTGCCACGACTACATTCAATAATTAATTATATCAATCAAAAAAATCTCAAAATATCGAAAGATCATCAAGAAATCCGCAATCTTCGTGCAATAGCTTAAATACGTAATGACTTTTCAATTTCAAAATAACCAAATTGTTCAAATAGAAATTGAGCTATATGATTTTTAATCGGTAAATGGCATGAGAATAGAACCACCAGCAAAATAGAGACAGAAGCAGCAGCAGCAGCAACAACAAAATATGGTAATGGCAATAGTAATGGGAACATTGTCCGCAGTTTGTGCTGTGAAGAATGTTTGTTTGAAACATTGATGTGTGCTCAATAAAACAATCGTCAGAATTCTATCGGTTTTTTCCCTACTGCTTATGCATTTCGAAAGGCGCACAAAACCAAAGCGTTAATTTTTTTGGCTTCGGAAGTATTTTTTTCTCTCCATCTCTCTCTGATCGTCGTCGTCGTCGTCGTTGTCGTCGTCGTCGTCTTACACACACATACACACGAAGAATACGAACGGCCAAACAACAAAATAGATAATATAAATAATAACAATTGAGTCGAAGCGCAAATAACACAAAAGTGCGATGGTGTATTGAAGTAGCCCACCAAGTTTGGTATTTATACACCAGTTACTATAATTACCGCATAAATCATTCTCACCGTACAATGTGAATGAACTATGAGAATTGAAATCAAATACTGTTTGTATTATTTTTGTTTGTGCGTTTTTTGCTCTGTTGTTACTGTTGCCGTTTGTTCCATCGGAGTTTTGGTTTTCTTGACACATAGTCAGTTCGGTTATGGTTTGTTGTTTTCCAATGCAAAACATCGACTATTTGAACGGAATTCAAAATAAATGAAACCCGATTGTCTGCAGAGCATTTTTAATAAATTGACAGCCGTAGAATAAAAAGAAGAGAGAAACAAAAACAACAACAAACGTGTGTGTGCGCTTTTAGGCATGCGCTTACGTATTTTGAATGACAATTGGCCAGCCAATTTCCATTCAATGCCATTGTAGCTGCCTGAAGATCTGTCAATACTCGGCCAGCTACTCTGACTCTTGGCTTTGGCATATGGTATATGGTATGGTTTGTGCACGTTCGCCCGTTTATTATTGCTCATGTGCAATCGTTAATCACTTCAGGAGATTAATGACAATTTCTTCATTTCTTTTCGGTCAAGTTTAATGTTGAAGAAAAGTGTATGCAACCATTGTAACAACAGAAACGCACCGAAGAAAATAATGACAACAACAACAATAGCAATAAAAAGAAAGAAAAAGGTACGTTATTGGCGGATGTGAAATGCTTTTAAGTGTTTTCCATATTCGTTCATTGACCATTTCCACGATTGTCGTGGCACGCCATAGACGTTTGTGTGTGTGTGTCTATTGTTCCTATGAAATTCTTTCATTTTCGATTGGCAAATCGCTCGAAATTATTTCTCTTTCGTGACGAACCAATTGATTGGTTGCTTTTGATGCGAGTGTTATGAGCAATACACGATCATCATGATCATCATGACCATCATCACCATCATCGTTCATGTATTCATTTCAAACAGGTCAACAACTTACCGCTGTTCGGATGAAGTTCAAGTACTTCTAGAATAATAAAACACCATGGACTTTGTTTTGTATTGTTTTCGTTTATTTACTTTATTTAATTCATTTTGTCTTATCTATTTTTTACAATATTTAGTTTTAATAGTTCTCACGTTTGAAAAATTGTTTCAAATGAATACAAAAACACGTATTCTAAGTCTCTGACTTCCAATCAAGATAATAGTGCTAGAATTCTTTTTTGTTTGCTAACTATTCGATATACGCAAGTCTGAATTGAATTACCACTGCGGTTCAACAATTTGTTGGCATTCAGATTTCAGGTTTTTTTTTCTTTATTTTTCCCGTATTCTTTTAATTAATTTACCTATTCTCATGTTCTGCACACTGAGAGCTTTGAAGAATGAATAAAAAATGAAACCAAAGTCAAATCGAACGGGAGGATCTCGTTTTCTTTTACAAATAACATTTAACAATTACTTATAACACAGCTACATAAAACTTTCTCACTAAACCGTCTCTTTGTTTTTCTATTTGGAGTTGACAGCGTTTTCATTTTCATTCATACTTTATTGATCGGAGAAAGGAGACACAAAATTATATAGGTGATGAAAAGAAATTGAAAATTTCAGAATGGGGAATTGTATTTTCTTTTTTTTTCTATATATGTTTTATGTATGAGACGATCATACAAAAAAAAACAACCAATCGACTATTAATCGTCATGAGCTTCGAATTTTCGAATCGGATTGAAATTTAAGGCTTTTTTTCTAATTTGAATAGGTAAGATTTTTTTTTCCACTCCGGTATAAAAAAAACATCAAAACAAAAGAATAAAAAAAGAAGAAAAAAATTGTTGTAAAGAAAAGAAGAATCGAAAACAAAGGAGAGTAGAAAACAAATACTAAATAAAAATAACATTACACTCAAATGACTTAGGAAATCATCAGCGTCTAGAAGAAGCCGTCGCCTGAAAAAATCGACATGTTTTTTTTTGTATGAAACTTTTTTTTTTCGATTTGTTTTTTTATGTTACGTTAATGTCAATAGTTATTAACACTAACATTTAATTTAGTGAGATTTTTGGAAAAAAAATCAATGTGTACCTGTTGGATCATTTAGCCATGGCTATTTGATGAGAAATGAAAAAAGAAGGAAGAAAAACGCAAAATAATTAGCAAAAATATTCATTTCAACGTCATAAAAAATGTCTTCTGGAGAAATTTCGTCCAAAATTATCACATATATTTCCAACACTTACATAATTATTTGGACATCTGACGCATGTTTGCAAATTGATTGTTTCGCCGGGCACTTCTTTCGATGTGAGTTTGCATGAGTGTGGCACCCAACAGGCTTGTGCTCCTTCAACTGAGCACTTTTCTCTCCATGGTTCAAAGTTCTTGACTTCGGAAACTGTTCGTGGATTTTGTATCCATTGAATAACTTGGGTCATAGTCACAAAGTAAACATCATTGTGATTTGACAAAACTTCATCGATCCAGTATAAGAATGCGTCCAAGTAGTCTGGATTGTTCTTTAACCAGGCAGCGTGGAAGTAAAGACCTAAACACCACGAAAAGAAGGCAAACAAGAAGGAATGGAATCGTTGAAAATGGAATTGTTCAATTTGTGTGCCAGTGTTCTGCTTCTTTCTGTCGGTTTTTCTGCTTTTATATAAAAGTAAATACAATCAAATCTGTTCTCAATCGTACCTAAAGGTGCTCGGTTCTGTTCGTAATGTCTGTCAAAGTTGTGGTTCAAGAAGTTGTAGAATTGTTCGCCGGACAAAATGTTTGAGCAGGAATCGACCATAGCGCAGCCGGGCAAGTATTCATCATTGGTTGGATCTTCACGACGATCCAATTCATTCATAACCATTTCCCAGACGGCATGTGAACGTGTTGGACAGCTTTGCAAGTTGCCGTGACAACGGTGTGGCATCTTGAAGTACATGGTGTATGGCCAGAGTGGTGGATTTGACAATGGTGCGGTGATTGTTGAATCGTACAAGAACGCTTGCTCTTCCATCATTGTGAATTGATTGTTGCCGCCAACACGCAAGTATGGTGCACGAACACCGACCACTGAGTTATCGGTGATGTTTGCGTATTTTTCCATGATGATTCTCATACCAGCCATCTCCTTGGCCCAGTCATCAACGGTGGCATTTGACCAGAAACGTTCGTCGTCATTGTGCCTGTTTCGTCATTGAATGTGTGTGTGTGTGTGTTAAAACGAGTGGTTCGATTATGCGCAGCAAAGAAGATGAAAAACATAGTAGAATCGGAGAAAAATAAAGAAAATTAATTCTTTTCTGCTTGCATTATGGCTTGCTAGTTTTGACTGCATTATATATATGGTGGAGTGAATGCAGATTCAACGAAAAGCAAAAACAACATTTATACATGAGTCGATACGAAATGCTGCCGCATTATGACAACAATGTAAAAAAAAGTAGTGAGAAACAGCATACTGAATATGTGGTTTACTTTGATTGTGGCTGTACGTTCATATTCGCCTCATGCTATGAACCGAATGCCCTAAATACGCAATCTCATATAAATATATACATATATACATATTGGCTCTTGAAAAGGTGAACATGTTGGATCAAACGAGACACACAACTATGAAGCTATCGAAAATGGAAAACGTGTCGTCGTCATCGCCGTTGCCGCCACCACCGCGGCATATTCGATCATTCCGAATCGACCGAAAAGAAATGAAATTTCATGCAAGCAACAAGTAAAATAAAAAAAGAAGGCATTGGGTACATTCGGTGCTTCTCTCGCCTGTACTTACGTAATTGAATGAACTGCAACTTCATGACCTTTGCGGTGAGTCTCTTGCACGGCTGAATAATTTGTATATTTGTGCGATACAAAGTATGTTGCCTTAATGTCACAGCCGTTTGGATTTTTACGTTTTCCGTTGAAGATCTCTTTGTACAGCTCAATGTTGTTGTTGTTGATGGCATCGTCGAATGTAATCGTGATCATCATTGGTACATCTTTACCTGGTAGCCCGCCGGGAATGGTTGTGCCATCTTCGGAGCAGAAACAATCGGGCAATACACAGACGGCTGGGTCGCATGGTGGTGCACGGTTTGGATCGTTGTCGATGTCTGTTTATAACAAGCAAAAACAAGAGAAAAACTGCATTTTAACACGCGCCACATCCATTAAAGTGGGTTTGATTTGGTAAAATTTGGTTATCACATTGCCGATTGAGAAATTAATTGAAAATTTCTCAAAGAAAAGATGAAAAAAATAAATTAGCCACAAGACATAATCCATGAGTACCTAATTGGTAATGGCTGCATATGGAAGCTATTCAACCGCCACAAAGTTGGTGCAGTTGGTGTTTATTTTTTTCATTTGAGTCATAGCTTCAATTTTTTTTTAAATGTATGAATTTTTTTTTCGAATCTTAAGCAAAAACTTCTCAAATGGAACATTTTGTGCGCGTGAGTGAGGTAAGTAACAAGGTGCTAGGTTTGAAAAGTCATTGGGCTAGAAAGTGACAGAAATGTAAATTTAACACTTTTCATTCCTTGAGTATGTCGAATGTTGAATTTTAAATAACAATTGTGTGTGTGCGCTCAGGACACAAATATCAACATCAAAAGTCAATCTCCATTGAATCACTTGGACTTTTTTGTGTGCTCATGAGCACAACTTTCGTCATTTGTATGGGCGAAATAGTGGAAAGTAATAAATATTCAGCAATCCATAAAAAAGAGCGTTAAGATTCGTTTTATAAATATACAAACACTCAAAAATATTAAATTATTCATAATCAAAGGGTCGTGCCGAGCTTATTTCGCCGTTGCGTTCGCATTTGCTTCATTGATGCCATATATCGATATTGATGGCTTCTTCGAAATGTTCAAGTGAAATTTTGCCAATATTTAAATGGGTTTTTTTTCTCTTCAACGTCTTCCACGATTGACTCCCCCTCCGATCTGATCCAATTCTTAGAATTCTTAGAAAAATTTGTTCTTGACGTCAGGGGGAGAGCGAAAAAGGAAACGTTTCAATTTCGTAATCAATTTTTTGCTTCTCCGCCGATTAGCGATTTGAAAAAGATTCAACACCCGGGCGGGTAATGAATAACCATCAATCATAAATTAAACTAGTAATATAAAAGCATAAATAGCTAAATCCTAAAAGGTAAATCCAATCGACTTTCGACTCAAACCAGCCATTGAAAGTGATAAAAAAAAGAAAGAAAAAGTAAGTCATATGGAAAAAAGTGTGCGGAGTGAAATAAAAACACATGAAACACTTCAGAGAATTACGACGACGGCAGCAGCGACAACGACAACGACTACGACGACGACGGAATCGTCAGCATTGTACAATCAAAATAAACTGGTTTCGACTTCTTCGAATATTGCCGATTTATATATACATATATTTATTTTTTTGTCCATTTTCAGGTAATTTCATATACTCTTTTTTTCCCTTTCTGTCGTTATCTTTTACGCGTGTCTGTATTTTAAATGCACACATAAAACGCCATTTGGATTGTATGCGAAACCAGTCAAAGAGGCGAAAAAATACTTCAAACGAAAAAATGCTATTAAATTTGCATAAAGCCAAAAGTACCTTTTGAAATCTCTCTGTGTGGATGCTTTAATGAATCAAAAGACATGGACGTTATAATGGAGATATTTATATTTAAGCCACAATAGCAACACAAAACGAAGACAGCAAAAAAAAAAAACAACAACAAAAAAACCAATGAAGCTTGTTGCTTAACCATTCCATACCGCACGATTTTCAATTTGAATTTTCTGTTTCTTTTCGCTTTCAGTTTTCTGAGCTTAATCAGAAATTATACTTTTACTCTCACAAAATCATGCGTTGTACCATGGCTAAGCAAACAAATTCTAGTAAAAGAAAATATACTTGAATAACGAATAGGTTAACCCAAACAGAATATGACCAAAAATAAAATATCGATGCGTTGCTGTTAATTTTCATAGGAGATAATTGTATTTCCATGCGGAAATCGTTGAATTGGCCAGATGATTTCAGATAAATGGCAACCATATCGAGAAATGTGTTACGCTTTTTCTACTGAAACATTGAATGTTTGAATACGAGGGCTGAAAGTGGCTTTGAGTGGAATGTTCTTATTGTGAACCTTATCGGACTTTCAACTTGTCAACGCGGTTTCTTCACCCACGATCGGAATTTCTCGAGGCGGTATGTATGTGTTTGTTATGTACTTTAATGTCACTTTCATTCGATTGTTTTGCAATATTGTAATGTGTTTGGTTGCGAAAAAAATTAAATGGCGCCAACAATGTGTTTTTCTTATTCGTTCAGCGCCACGGAGTCGCGAGCGCGTGTGCATTAAAAAAGAGCTTAAAAGAGGAAGATAAATACACTATGTCTGTCATTCAGCCTTGGCCATTACACCGCCGATTGTGCGCCAAGATGTATTCATTTTTTTAAAAATAATAATCGTAATATGTTAGGCGGTTGATAAGCAGCCAACAAAAATTAACACCAATTTTGAAATGATCGCATATGACATTTAAAGCACTTTTCACTTTAATTTGCAGATTCAATCTCTATCACATGTTTGCATGCAACATATCACATCGTCCGGTGGCAAATATATGAAAAAATTCATTCAAATAACGAAATATTAATTTATTTTGAATGTTGATTTGAAGATGGAAAAAATGTGTAACTTCTTTATCGCGATATGTATTCCATTTTTAATCTAGCCGACATTGAATCTCTAAAAGCCTTTATTGCTTAGTTCGAAACGAATTGAGCAGGTATGAATACATTTGAGCGAACGAATAAGATGATGAAAATGCATTTTTTTTCGGGCAGAAATGGAAACGATAAGGAAAAACAAATGGCATTAACAACTAGCACCATCGGCAACCGAAATGCTTAGACACATTTAATAAAATGGCGTGGCATGTTTTTCATTTCATTATTATTTTCCGCATATCGACATTCAATTTATTTGGCACGTCCACTTTGTGCAATGGATGAGGATCTCCACTTTGGTTACCTTCGTCACGTGTAGCGTGTCAGGTATCTCTCTCATTTTTTTGCTTCCATCGTTCACTGGCTGTTTTGAAAATTAAAACCCGAAACGACGTCAAGTGTGATTTGGGTTTTTTCGTAACTTTTTCATTAAATCCAATGAAATCTAACATCTTTTTTTTTTTTCAAGTTATAGTCGACTCGGCTCCGTTTCGGTCGGTGCCGGTATAGAGAAAATTAATTTAATCAAATGTAACATTTGTGGGGCGCGTGTTTTTATGAGCACATTTAAAATGTAAAATGTCACATTATGAAAATTGATGAAGCGAAAAATGAAGTGTAAGCCCAGTCACATTTGGTCCACAAAACGTTTGTGAATTTATTAGAGATTGATTTTGATTTTTTCATTCGATTCGTTATATGCAAATTAATTTCATTTGATTGAAATGTGTGTCTGCAATCCGTCAATCAACAGCCGCACACAACGAAATTGCGAGAAAAAAAAAGCATTTGAAATTCCACAGCACACAAATACAGATGTCTGGATGATTACTGTCCATATTTATATACGAGGCGAGATAGAGAGGATATATTTTATATCATAAATACCAAATGCTTCGTTCACTCGTCCGAAAAAATATTTTGTCGATTTACACCAACCTTGACCTTTACAATTTTGCTAATGTAAAAATCGATACAAGAAAGTATGGCTTTTGAATGTATGAGAGAGAGAATTTCAACTCTTGGGATTTGCAAGTATGGGAATAGCATCGTTCGATCAAATTCGATTCGATTCGATTCAATTCAAATAGAAAAACAATAAAGTACTTACCACAGCTGTTTTCATCGGAACCATCAGCACAGTCCTTTTCGCCGTTACAGAACAAACCACGTTCAATACAGTTTCCATCACCGCAGGCCAAGAAACCATCTTGACACAATGGTTCATCGGTGTACAACAATGGTTTCACTTTACGCTCTTTGTTCTTGAGCTTGCAGTTTTTCACCGAATCTTTCCAGTCACATGTTTGCTTTTCAATGTCGAAATAAAGACCAGCTGGACAACGAATAGCTTGAAGACCCTAGTTATTGTTCAGTTTTTTTTTTTGTTTTTTTGGAGGGAATAAATGAATGACAAAATTTGTAATTAATACGCTACATCTAACAACTTTGCATTTTGTAATGGATATTCTCTCTGGCTGTTCGCAAAAATGCTCATCAATTGAACATCTTGTTAGTTCAATGTATGTGTTTCTGTTGTTTTCTGCGGTTTCACGCAACACATTTGTGGTGTTACACTTTCTCGAAACGAAAAAACAATACACGATTGCCAATCAATATTTAATTCAGTTTGACTTACCGATGAGGTACATTGGATTACGTCGCGACAGTTGTCACCTTCGCCTGAAACCAAACGAAACCATTCACCGGCATCTTTACCTTTGCACAACTCTTGTTCAAACGACTCATCTTTCTTTGTTGAAGTCTCATCTGATTGCCGCTTTGTTCGTATACCGTGCGCTGTGAATTTAGAGAATCCAAAGAATAATGTGGTTAGACAATTTCGAAATGAAAGAATGGAATACAATAGTTGTTGAGAATCATTCCGTCATCGAAATAGAAAATTGCTCATCGTTTTAGATTGCGATTTATGGTGCACTCTTAAGGCCATAAGAAGCAAAAGGTGACAGTGCAACAATTCACTATGTAAATTTTTCACTTGAAACCAAAATAAATACAGGCCACACAAAATGTTAAAATTGTCGACATTTCAACCGCACCCTAGCATCACAAGCTATAGAAATCACGCATCAATATAAACGTTTAATAGATTTTTATATTAAATTAGTTTTGCCGCAGGCCCACTCCATTGTTGTATATTTGCAAAGGCAGTGAGTGACATTTTGTCATCATCATGAGCATTGAAAGTTTTGCCGTTTATTAAATGTAGCAATGTGGTATTTAAATCGAATTCAATCCTGAAATTAAAATTTAACAACTCCCGCACACATACTGACGATATAACACAAATTAAATTTATTAAAATGGAACGACCGGTTTCAGCCGAAAAAAAAGAAATAAATAAATCAATGTATTGTTTTTGTGGCTGTCAATGTTCCAGGATGTGAAATTGTCATGTTACAAATGCACTTTTACATTAAATTTAGATTGAGTTTGATTGAGGGTCAAGAGCACAGTTTTAGCAACATGTCAATGTCGACGTTGAACCGATGTCGTTTTTCATGTGTGCACTGCCATAAATGCACATCAAAATCGATTTTGGGTGATAAATGCACATCACATGCAACAGACGCATTTGTGTATATTCCGAAGTCGTCAATGAAGTTTGTAGGTCAACACCTTTCTTCTTTGGCACCCGTCCCGTGCATCACGTGGCAACTTCTTTTATTTCTCATTCTTTTCATTTTGATCAAATTGTCCATGTACCGGAAATATTATGAAACTTGCGCATAAAGACCAGAATCCGCATATTCGAGACCAATGCATTGTATAACCAATATTTTGTTGTTGTTTTTTCATTTTATTTTCATCGATACCTCAATATGCATTTTAAAAGTGCTACCTATAAATTGAGGTGGCACACGAAAGTCACACTAGCATATTATGAAGCAACAAGTCCGCATATTTTCGTGTTTCAACGAATTTCATTGTGCATTCTTCAGTCAAATTATATAAATAAAAAAAAACTACACGAGAATCGACTGAATTGGACCGAAATCCAGTTTTAGATTTTATGACCACAACAACTACAATGACAATGGCAACGGCAACAGTAACGCGACGCAGAGTAAGTGAAAAAAAAATAAATAAAGCACGACGTGTACGACAAATAAATGCATTTTCGCATGCAGGAAAAGAAAACACGGGATGATAATTCACTTAGTAATGATTGAAAACGCTTTTCATTTCGTTTCTACAAATAGAATATGGCGGTCGCTATTTTTTCTTCTCTATTCTTTTCAATTCATTAATCGATCGTGGCGTGAATTAACATTTAGCGCCAATGTGGTGCGCTCGAGCTGTTAACCGGAAAGAAAATGATTTGCATTCATTGATTGTATTGATTTCTGGTTTGAATATGATGCGGGGGGCGCGAAACAAATGCTCAATCATAATTGCAAGTATGTTGTGTGTTTTTTTTGTTCGTATCAATAGAAAGCACATTGTTTTTGGCTCGTTTTGTCGTTTTAATTTTTTTCGTCGTTACTGTCAAGTGGTATGATTTAAATAAAAAAAAGGTGTGCCTTCGCAATGACAAGTGATTATAATTAACCAAAGAAATAGACAAATATCTTTATGCCGGCAGAAGAAAAGTTGTTTGTGTTTCGTATGACAGACAGACTTGATGTATTCAATCATTTGTGATCGCACTAAATTTAGGGCAACAAAGCATTTGAAGGTTTGGTCGCTTCGACTTTTTTTGCGACGATGGTGGTGATGTAGTCAGAAACGCATCTTCACTTCGACCAATCGATTCCTTTCGGTTAAGCGGAATTTGAAAACGATTAGGTGGTATATTGCATAGCTCAATTGATGAAAAAAAACATTTAAGCGACGATGCAAATTGCGTACAAAGAGGAAAAACGCAAACAATTACCTCTTCTAGTTCGATTAAATATAAGGCTGGAGTGTATTTGTGCTAGTGCGTTGTGTTTTTTGTGTTGTTTTTCGAGAAATAAGAAATGAATGCGCCTTGATTATGCATAATTAAGTTAATAGGTTATTATGGAAACTTTTGCATACTAAAATATGAACATAGTACTTCTTTCTTTCATTCCACATTCCATCTCTTTCAATTCTCTCTCTCTCTCTCTCTCATGTGAGTATGTTCCATGGGCCCCATTGGCGGTTATACGCTGTTTTTTTTTGTGTATGTGTGTGTAGTTGTAATGTTATAGGCAAACATGTTTTCTAATTCAAAATAAAAACAGCAGCCGCAACACAACACCAACAATAATAGTAACAGCAACAATGAAGACTCATTCGTATTTTTACGCATATTGTTTAGCACTCACAGTATTTTATTCAATTTTCTCTACGAGTTGATTTTGCGTCAGTATGCTTTACAAACAAAAAAGTGCATATATTCCTATCAGTAGCATAATCAATGAGACTCACTCGGATTGCAAATTTAAAAAAAAATGGAATTAACAAACGAACAAAAACAGCAGCAGCAAAACAAAGATTATGTGCACTCGAAAATTCAATAGGCAAGTAGATAAAATAAATTAAGAAGATGCATCAACAAAAACAAACGAAAACATGACTGTATGTAGGTAAAACACATAACACTTACCAGAATGTGCAAGCACTGCAACGATCACACAGATTGCGAATGATTTCACCATTATAATTGATTATTTCCTTTTGATAATTGATAAAGAAATAAAAAATTAATATGAGAATGTGAACATCACTTATTTTGGAGTAAATTGGATTTTATCATTCCTAATTCAATTACACTGAAAAATTAAAGAAGAAACAACAACAGTAGCAGCCGCAGCAACAGCAATATAATGAAAACAATGATTAATTGGTCAAATGCCGCATGTTGCAAAAGCGATCGACAAATCGTTGGTCGAATCAATTGAGCACATGAAATTTTTTTGGCAAATTCTCAATGCAACTTATTTGAATTGACTAGAAAAAAACAACAACAAAAAACAAAGTCAATGAAATTCAAAGTGAATAAAAATGATTGAACATATCTTGTTCAAATGTTTTCGAGAAAAAAAACGATTGAACGTATAACGGAAGCGAACTGAAACATAATTTTAGTTAGTACCGATCGAAGGTTCCAAACACAAACTTCTTCATGGTTTTTTATGTGAACAATTCTTGTTTTGTTTTTTGTTTTTTATATCGCAAATTTTATTGCAATTCATTCCGGAGATACACGAAAAAATATGTAGAATTTTTGTTATACCGATATTCAGTAGTTTGCAATTAAGTGTCTCGCGGTTGGTTTTTCTTTCTCGTTCGCGCAACGGTTATAATCTCAGAATTATTATTATTACTATTGTTTCATTATTATCGCCGTAGCTCCTTTATATATAAAATATATATGTATATTTATATATATATATGCTATGTGTCGTCTAAATCTTTAATTAACAAGATTTGATACTGATCAGTATAGTAAATGCAAGTGGATTCGAACAAAAAAACAGTTTACATAGTAATTTATGTATATATATATATATATATGAAATAACTAAAATGGAAAGAAAAAGTGAACACTAACGGCGCTATGTGATATGTGCCGACTTCCAATAAACGCAAGAACGTGTATGCATGGAAACAAGCTTTTATATGGCAATTCTTCGATGCGGAGAAATAAAAAATTGGTGGGATTTTAATGAACAGGTGGGATAACACACCATTCAAAATACAAAAAAAGCAAAAATGAAACATGAAAAAAAACACAACATAACACTCGGTTTCACTATGGATCGTTACGACTCTGTGTTGCTGTCGCTTGATGGTGCTATGTCGCATTCGATGGGCCACCGTATTACACTTCCACATACCGCATATCGTCGAGCCAACGCATAACACATACAATTGTGAAAAGGAAAGAAAAAAGCAGCAGCAACAACAACAACAACAACAGCAGCTAACAACGGCAACGTCAGCAAGCAACAACTCCTTTTCTCCTCCGAAATGTATGTATGAAGGTGATAGAATCACTTTTGTGGTAACCAATTTGAATATGTTCAACTTTTGTCACACTACTATACGATTGCTCCAATGCATTCATGAGCCTCTAAAAAGAGATGGGCAAAGGTGTAATAATCGATTGAGTTGATTGATTTTTTTTCTTTCTTTTTCTGTTACTTTTTCTTCAATTTGGGTATTTTCTCTTCTCCTTTTCTTTCTCGTCGTTGCAATATTCATTTGTTGACGAAATAAATTTAAGGAAAGGAGTGCCGAAACTGTCGTCCGTCGGATTGCAAGAGATTGACATCTACGAAAATTCAAAAACTGCATGCAAACGATTACACTTTAAACATGTTGTCAAAGCATTTTGTGACGAAATTCGTCTATGTTTATGACATTTTGTATGGCAAATTCGGAGATTCCGATGAATCAGGTTTAACATATTTTATCAGGTCATTTCCAAGATATTCAAATTATATCGTTCGTATCGATGATTATTATTAAAGAAAGATTCTTCGCTTCCTAATTCACCCGTGAGCAGGCAGGCAGGTGACATTGTCAATAAATTGATAAAGGAAAATCATCCATATTATAATGAATATGTGCGTTAATCATTGGAGCTCATAGCAAAGCTATGGAGAAACGGTAACTTAGCGATACACAATGTTTACCTGTGCGACAAGCGAAAAACGACATACTTCACGTTTCACAGGTGCAATCCATTATTTTTGCAGCTCAGGCTAGATAATATGCAATGACCGTTTCCATGTCAATTGAATTTGATGGATGGACGCTATTATCTGTTTATGATAATATAACGATGTCATTCATGTCTTAAATTCCATTTTATTGAACACAAAGAATGCACGCTTAGCTATTGAAATTGTGCGAATGACAAATAGGTCAACATCCCGGCACTGTCTATCTAATGGAGAGACACGAAACTTAAAAGAGTAAAAATAGAACATCATTCAACGATAATAGGAAAAATAGAAGAAATTAGTGAGTTTGGTTTGCCAATTTTAACGCTTATTGTTTACAAAATAGTCCCGTTAGGTCTTCCATAAGCGTTGTATTGACAGTGTTATACGCTCTGCAAACGATTTTACTAGAAATAATAGCACAATATTAGCACTTTTGCACCAAAACTAGAAAAATTAGAGGACATAAAGCAAAAAATATATATAAAATTGAGCGAGTTGATACTAATTTTTCTTTGTACGAATAGACATGTCATAACATCCCTGTTTAAAGTGCTCACTTTGATTAATTGAATACATGCCAAGTAAAAAGTCCTACAAGCGTACGGCGAATTTTTGCGCACATTAGCCGTGTCTTTTGTGTTTCAAACAAGGGGGAAACTACTACTACCGCGTAATTCATATAAATACAATCTAGTACAACACAAATTCTGAAAAATTCCAAAAAATTCTGCGCAATTCAAAGCAATTCCAATCAATTCCGATGTTCCTTAGTCAAATTTGGTGATGATCAACTTAAAATACCGCAAATATATATAGGGACATTTACCATTCATTTGAAGATTTTTACTTCCAGAACATATTTGACTTGGTTTGATCTACAAGACTCAATTCTAGCGCTGTTTTCTATTTTGAAAATATTTTATGTATCATATAGCCTTAACCTATTCGAAGTGAAATGAAAATGACGCCCTATCTGAAGTTATTTCGATAAGATTGAACATCTTTGCGCTTAAGCATTCCTTTGAGTTGCTAAATGACCCTATATTTGCAATTTTTGAAGTTGATCATCATCAAATTTGACTTAGAAACATCGGAATTGATTGGAATTGTTCTGAATTGCGCAGAATTGGTGTTGTACTAGATTGTATTAATATAAATTATGCGGTAGTAGTAGTTTCCCCCTTGGTTTCAAAACTCTATTTAATGTCCCGAAAAATGTTCTCATATCCGTTGGCACATTTTATCGGAATGAATAGATATTGAATATTCTACTACTGCACTCATGTGTTGTATATAAGTGCCATGGGTAGTTCTTGCTTTCTATTTCCCGACAAAGATAGTATAAAACCTTCGTTTGACAATGTGTCGATCAAACTCGTGAGTACGGGCTTCTCATTCTCGCGAGCACAAATGGACCGAATGGCAACCGATTCTTCGTCAAAACAAGATATAGAGTGAATACGACGGAAGACATTCAATTATCTCGAACAGACGTTAGTATTCGATTTTTGTGAAATATTCATTCATCCGTATGCAAACTGTGGAATGCTACT